TACGCAGGTCAAAAGTTATAAATACGCAGCTCATCGGTCCCGCATCGGTCGAGTGCGTTACGAGTACGCTATGTGTTCGTGACGCACATCGTCAGCATATGAGCCGCCTGTATTGGACGTATACATAGCGTACTTGCAGCGCAGATGCAACGCACTCTGGACGGCGAGCGGCGGGAATGCGGCGGGAATACGCTCAGAAGTGCGTCAAGCATGCGGTCGGCATAAGTCGGGTGCGTCCGGAATACGCTCGGTATGCGCACTGCAAATTGACTTATTTGCAGCCCGAAAAAAAATGTTGTACACTGCATACGGAACTCATACGCATCTCATACGCACTGGATGCGCTGAATTCGTTACTTGTACGCTAGATGTGCGTCGCACATAAGTCAAAGTGATCAAAACATTTCGACGTTAATTGAGCGTACGGCTGCGTATTGAAAATATTTGATAAGGAACTCATAAGGAATTAGGATACGCAAAGGTGTGACTGGGGCTTTACGCCGTGAAGTATTACTCATTGGCGTGGTTCATTAAAGGGACCTTAATTTAGACTCCTCATTTTCTGGAGGAAGCATTCAAAGAGTTAAGCGCCTCCCCGAATCCCAGGAAGGCCTGAGTGGTCGAGGCACGCCCTCCCTAGCTTTCCGGGTTACGCCACTGAGTTTGAAGTGACGCATCGTTTCTCAACATCCGGCCGGGACCATGAGTTTGACTCCGATGGGAACGTACAGCAATAATATTTTTACTGAAATAAATCTGCCATCGGATATTTGAAAATCACGTGGGGGGTAAATCACTATAGGTGGCATGGGTGGCTTGTGCGTCAAGCGCTCGTCTCTCACCAAGGTGACCACGGTTCGAATCCTGGCCGCAGATCACATGTGAGTAGAGTTGTGCGTTGCTTCTCTCCTGTGTCACGAGGGTTTTTCTCCTGGCCCTCCGGTTTTCCTCCCTCCGGAAAAAATCAAACACTTTCGATCTCAGGCTGTGCTCCGTGGTCATATATGGGTCGATGTGGCCGGCAGCCATAGGCGCCTTTACGTGCCAGCGGCCCGACCACGTTGTAGCCGCGTCCTTCGCAATTCAGCATACCAGCTGCGAGTCAGGATGATTAGCCTCCAAAATTAGTATTATTATTATTATTATTATTACTATAACCAGGGGCAAAGAGGACAGGACGTCCGTACTACGCCGTCTGGAATTAGGAGCTGGCCGCGTGTTTAATGCGCAGACCAGTTTTACCAAATTGGGTACTCAGACCTCACTGCTGCACTTGGCAACGACCCTGCCCCTAACATACCTGCCCGTAAGCTGACGTGGGTTCAACTTTCACCCTATCCAGCCTCTCTCACCCAGGCTTTGCCACGCCCACCCCCACCTCACCCATTTTCCATCAATCTGCGGGCGCAACCACCTTATCAATGCCTTACAACCTTCAGACCCAACCCAACCTTAACACCATGCCCTTCTACGGCGGATACAGAACCAAATTGTCGATGTGCTTCCGTTATGTTAGGCTATGAGTGGGGAGGGGAGGGGCAGGTGAAAGTGCCTGATACCCGACAAGCTAGCCGTTACAGAATCGAAAGGCGTGGGGGATGCGTTTCAGTTTTCCTTCATTATTTGTCCTGACTACATTATACTAGCATTTATGGTGGCGTCGCTGGCTTTTGCGTAAAGCGGTCGCCTCTCACCAACGTGACCACGGTCCGGATCACATGTGAGTAGAGTTGTGCGTTGGTGCTCTCCTGTGCCACGAGGATTTTTCTCCGTGCCATGCGGTTTTCCTAAAAATAAAACTCGTTCGATCTCAGGCTATGCTCCATGGTCATAATAGGCGCCTTTAGACGAGTAGGTTGTGTGGGTTGATTTCTAATGTAAAGTCTATAATTTGTAACCTACCAACTGTACAAAAATAGTCATAAAGTTGTAAATTTCGAAGACCACATTTGATTTTAAGTGATTCTGAAAGAGGAAAACATGCTCTATCAAGTCATTTTAATTTCGTTGATTTTCGGAATGATACATTAGTACATAAAAAGGTCACAATAATATGTTAAAGGTCACGTGACCTACTTTCACAAAATCTAATTTTGTCAAAGGAGTTGATTTCAGCATGCAATTTTTATTGTTTTGATACCAAATCCGCATATATTCGATAATAATTGACATAGTTTTGACATATTTCTACCAAAAGGGTGGTATTTTACTCTAAAAATGTCCGTTTTTTTATGGTTTCTGCCCTGACCTCATAGTAGGTCGGATCGGGCTAAAAATTGGTGTGCATTCATTGCTCATCAGGACCTACAAGCACAATATTTTTTTATCAAAATCGGAAGACATGAGGTAAAAATGTGCTTTGGTCTGACATAGAATGACCCCTATAGAATATTTTGAGGGTTTAACTTTCTTCCATGCACTCGGCGGATGGGTTTAGGCCTATTTACCGGTGTGCACCCTTTACCATCCTGCATGGGTGCGATATTTTTCTCCCCCACACGTCATCCGCATAATGGGTGTACGCTATGGCGTTTTGGAATGTACTTTTCTAAAAACGTGAGAAGAAAATATCAATTAGAAAAAAAGAAATGAATTCGAACGTAATGAAATTCGGACTTAATTTCCCTTTAACAAAATATCCTCTGAAACCTAAGGTTAGAAAAAAAAATCGGAGACAAAACAATGGTGAATCGAACCTGCAACCTCGCAATGCAAAATCACAACCCTATCGACTGAGCTATCGCACTGCTCGCCAAAATGTGGGGGGAAATATAATTATATACCTGCGTACGTATCATAAAAGTATCGTAGAGGGCGCTAAATAACCATGTATGTGGGTGTAGTTTAGATAAAGAAAATTCGCATCCGGGGCCATGGTTTACCACGATGGGAACGTACAGCAAAGCTATTTTTACTGAAATAAATCTGCCAACGTATATTCAAAAATTGCGGAAGATCCCGTTTTACTGGTAACAATAATAATGTCCGCCTTTTGGCGGCCAAGTGTCTGGAAAAAAAAACTTTCTGCATTTCAGATTTGTTTTGCCAATGAACCCCTCCCTCCTGCGAAAATTCCTGGATCCGCCCCTGCACACAACCTCCCCATGCACGTGGCGATAACCCTGGCCGTAACATACCCGGCGTTTGTAAGATGAGCGTATGAGGAAATCGTACAGCTTTCACCCTATTCAGACTCTCTCACCAATGCTCTCCCTCTCATTCTCACCCATCTCCCATTAATCTGCGAAACGCAACCACCTTATCTCTACCACGTGACCCTTCAAACCCAAGCCAACCTGATCACCCTGCCCATCACAGGCGGATGCAGAACAACACTGTCGGTAGGCTTCCGGTTGTGTTGGGAGAGGAGGGAGGGGGGCAAAGATTCATGGGCCTGACATCCAGCATTTTTCATTTCTCATTTTGTTCTCTCTTCATGTTTTAGCATTTTAAGAATCCGTGGGGTATATTGGAGAAGAAGACTACACCATCGTCTTAGTGCCATTCATTGTTCTTGATGAATTATTGAAAGATAAGTAACAATCGGCATCATATTTTGCTCCCCGCCCGTCATCTTCAATCCCTAACCCCCTCGACACCACTAATCATTCATCCTCCACCCCATCCATCCTCAATCAATGTTAACCCGGCCTTTCATTAACACGATCCCCAAATCTAGAAGTCAAAACAAACAAAAATGGACAAAAATACAGGTAATTAACTGACTTTGTTTGCAATAATTTGTAATATCAAAGGGATAAGAAATGTTATCTATAATCACAGATTTAAGTGCTAATAAGAAATAATTTTGTTCGCAAGAGTCAGACTGTGATTTGCTCGTTCATTTAAACGACATAATTTCTCTGTAATTTTACTTTCCTGGGAGGAATTCGATAGAATGTATTACGAGTGGGACAAGGTTTCCCACATTCTTAAAAGCTAAATGTTCAAATAAAGTAATGTTCAAAATACAGTTTTCGAGTATTTATATTCGATACTGATTACATGTTATATGATTAATGTCTGTGTTTAAATTGGTTTAGCTGCTTAACAGAGCACATCCTCAAATGTATACTTGGGAAAAAAAAGATCTTTCAATCAAATATATACTAGAATCATAATTGTGTAATCTACAGAAATAGTGTCACATTATCAACTGAAATTACATTAAATCGGAACCAATTTCATCAAAGTGAAAGCCCTAAAACTCAACTTTTAACATGAAACAAAAACTTAATTACACATGTATAACATGGGATACAAAAAAAGTGTTTATCAAAAGTGAAGAGTTCTTGGTCCATTGTGGTGTAATTCGAAACTCTTGTTTTGTTTCAAGAAAAAAAGTTTCCGAGGATAAATAAATGATATCAGCAGACTTCATTTAATCTCTGGCGGTATACGGTATGCGAAGTGCAAATGAAAAAAAAAACCAACAACAATATTGTTTAATACATGCATTTGTTACTTGCCAGACAGACTATTGTAACGGTTTATGTTTTTTTTATACGACTACCAGTTTAAGAAATAACAACCTACATGCAGAAGGAAGGGTCGTACGCCCATACTACAGGAACTACGTTGGCTCTCGGTTACGGTGCAGAATGAATTCAAGATACTTCAGTACTTTTCAAACCTATCCGCCATGGTGAGGCAGCGCTACGGTACTTCACAGAGTAAATATCGGTTCACGCGTTTAACATTCGTACTAAAGCTGTGATGGGGTTCACTTTAACCTTCCTAAAGTTCGTCCAAAGCCTGGCAAGGCATACGGTGACCGTGCAGACTTCCACGTTATTTGAGCAAAAAATAACGAATTTGAAGGGTTTTTCAATGGCAGCTAAAACCTTCTTTTTCAAACTGTTTTTATGCAGTTTTGATAATTGAATGTAAAATGCTTTGTATTAAGAATCATTTATCTTTCTTATTATCATGACATTGAATATTTTTCTTTTATTTCATTGGTTACTGTTTCTTGCAAAATGCAAAGCAAAACAAAAACAATGCAGCACTGCTACTGTATATTTATGCGTTGTGATTTAATTTTATTTATTTAATTATTTATTTATTCGGAGAAAAGGATGAAGCCACTGAATGAGGTGTGGTGATAGGTGGAATCACTACGCGCCTTACCGTACGTGGTAAGATACACCGTGTCTCCCTGCTGCAGGACCATCACCGCGCTACCAGACAACTGACCACGTTGATTTGATTCACCATAGGTAGTGATCACCTTGTAGTCGTTTTTAACAAGATGGATGTGAAGGCTACCGCTGTTGCTATACTTAAGTACAGAAAACATAAATAAGTAGGTGCCCGGTACACTACAGGTAAAAGTGCCGGTCTCGAGATCGAAACTAGTACCCGGCAGAAGTGTCTCGGCCTGCTGGAATGGCAAACGGGTGTCGTGACTCGTAGAGGTATCCGAGTTGCTCGTCCTCACCACGGTGAATGCCACCCGCTGGTTGGAGTCGTCTGGTGTCTCCCCTGGCTCACCCTTCTGACCTTTGACACCAGTTTCCCCAGTTCCTCCAACAAAGCCAGGTAGCCCTCTCGGACCTATCTTGCCGGGCAGACCAATCCCATCATTACCTTTAGACCCAGTGTTCCCAGGAGCTCCCCGCTCACCCATAGGTCCAATAGGGCCAATCTCACCTTGCTGACCTGCATCACCCTTTGACCCCGGCTGACCGTACGGCCCCATCGGTCCTGCTGGGCCAGGCAGACCTGGTATGCCGGGTATTGCAGCAGGTCCCTGGCAGCACTGCTGACACACCTGAGACGCAGGACCATCGCCATCCGAGGGAACCGGCCCAGTAACGGAAGCTCGGAGCTTGACAGAGTTACCGAGAAGGAGGGCGATTGACAGAATGGTGGCCACGCAGATCTTCATCTGAAAGGAAAACAATACAGGGCCTATTTATAAACCAAAACAAAAATCAATACGAAACGATAAACATGTTACATAAACTGAAGAATTTATCTAAAAGACATGTATGACTACATAATAATTGTTGAAGAATCTTATTCACACAATGTGTTCGGTGTGATAATGGCAGTGGCCTGTCCGGGGGCAAAAGTCGGGTTGCAATGACAACTGTGGCTGTGGGCAATCCACAAATTGGGCTGGTTATTACTTTTGCTCGCTGATAAAAGTTAGCAAGGAAGACCCATTAACATTAGGGTATTTTAGGACGGCGCGCTCTTTCCACTGTCATGATAGAATCAATTAAATATCCCCACACCGACCTCGATGGTTCGCTCTTGAAGACTTGAAGATCAGATCAAAGAACAGATCAGAAGGAGTTCAGTGTAGGCTGAAAAAAAACCCAACGAAAACCGGTAGCGTTTAAACTTGAGTAAGGAATGAAATAATGTTATCATCGATTTGAATAAAATTGTGATTTTTTTTTTATTTTGACAAATCATCATTCTAAAACAGGAACAATTATACACTAATAAACAAGGGACACATTATTATTTGACCGGTATTTTCCTGGCCGAATACGTCCAGGAAAAAGAAACATGCTTTAATGTCGCTTTGTGAATTTTTTTGGGAAACTGAATGCTCCATAGCACCAGCATTCCATTTTACCAAACAAGGGTGAGCATTCTCAGGCACTAATAAGTCGTTGAAATTTTGTGAAAGCATAATTATGTGAGTTTTAAAAACAGCAAGTTTTGCATCGTTACTTTGCATCGAAATCACATGTGCTTTGGATTTCAGTCCCGCTCGGGAATTCAACTTCATGCACACGTTTACAAAATGTTACACATTTTCAAGAAAATCGGGCAGTGTAGCAAGATCAGTGGCGGATCCAGGGTGCGGAGGGGCGCCCTCCCCTCCGGCAGTGACCGAAGCACATCCCCCCCCCCAATCCCTTTAATATTTTGCAGCATTTTCACGATTGATTTTTTTGTTTTGCCCCCACTCCCATTTAATTAACAACAGTATGATTTCACGCCTGTCTTTTTATTTTTCCCCTTGTCCGGGGGCAGCAAGCGCCAAATGCCCCCCCCCCCCTCTCGCAACGCCCATGAAAGCTGATGCTTCAAACTTGGAAGTCGGACAGCTAAGTAGACGGTCCGAATAATTTGTACAAACATCAACTCTTAACAGGATTTCGAGAAATGAATCCAGCCAGATAAAGCAATTTGAACTTTAATTACAGTGTGTGTGTAATAATGATCCGGTCCGTTTGTATTTGCGCCCTCTAGTCTCTTCTAACCAGTGACACTTGTATCGTGCAATGCTTGAAAGCATGAGGGTCATTCCATGTCAGACCAACGCACTTTTTACCTCATGTCTTCCGATTTTGATAAAAATTGTTGTGCTTGTAGGTCCTGATGAGCAATGAATACACACCAATTTTTAGCCCGATCCGACCTACCATATGGTCAGGGCAGAAACCACAAAAAACGGACATTTTTAGAGTAAAATATCACCCTTTTGGTAGAAATATGTCAAAACCATGTCAATTTTCATCGAATATATGCGAATTTGGTATCAAAATAATACGAATTACATGCTCAAATCAACTTTTTTTGTCAAAATTAAATTATGTGAAAAGTAGGTCACGTGACTTTTAATATGTTATCGTGACCTTTGACCCAATTTATGTACTAATGTATCATTCCGAAAATCAACAAACTGAAAATGACTTAATAGAACATTTCTTCCTTTATCAGAATCCACTAAAAATCAATTGGGGTCTTCAAAATGTACAACTTTATGACTATTTTTGTACAGTTGGTAGGTTACAAAATGAGTCAATTTATAGACTTTACATTAGAAATCCACCCGCACAACTTACTATTTACTACTTACTATTCTGTTTCTAAAGCTACTTAAATTAATCTTGGTTTGGGAGTTTCTCATGTTTAGGGCTAGTGAGGTATAACCAGACTCATTATATAAATTATCAGCAGTGGCGCACCCATGATTTTGCTTTTTTGTGTGGGGAGGGGGGCTCATAATTTGTTTGTTTTCAAATTTCTGTAAAAGATAAAAAAAAATACCCCAAAATCAAACAAACAAATTGACAACCTTGGAGGGGGGGGGGTCCAGCCCCTCGAGCCCCCCCCCCCCCATCGGTTCCAACGATAATTAGTTATCCCACGAGTGCGCTGTGAATTGAGCCCCCACCCACCCACCCACCCTGGGGTGTCACTGATAATTAGTTATCCCACGAGCGCGCTCGGAATATGAAACAATGGAATGCTGCTGTGACCCATATGCCACCCGAACTTTGATTGCGATATTGAGTATTATCTTTAAGCAACCTTGAATCCTAGACCCTGATTAGTCCATCTACAAGTATAGCAACAACAGTGTGATTTGATATAATACTGCACAGCTATATTGTGCCCCAGATATCGATTGTACATGTACAAGTATGTATTGTGTTCTTTTTGTTTGCTGCTGAAGGGCCGATACACTATGAACCTACATCCCTCACCACGTACAATGTACGCATTAGACGTCAAGTTTGCTTTAAGATAAATTCGTTATGGCTCGTGGAACATGGGATAATGTAGTGCGTCGGGTGGCATATGAGTCACAGCAGCATTGCATTGTTTCATATTCCAATATTCCAAGCACGCTCGTGGGATAACTAATTATCAGTGGCACCGGGGGGGGGGGGGATCGGGGGGGGATCGAGGGGCTTGAACCCCCCCCCCTCCAAGGTTGTCAATTTGTTTGTTTGATTTTTTTTCAATCTTCTACAGAAATCTGACAACAAAAAGCTATATTGTGAGTCTGGTTAGACCTCATCAGCCCTAAACATGAGAAATTCCCAAACCAAGATTAATTTAAGTACTTTTAGAAAAAGAATAGTAAGTTGTGTGGGTGGATTTCTAATGTAAAGTCTATAAACTGGCTCATTTGTAACCCACCAACTGTACAAAAATAGTCATAAAGTTGAAAATTTTGAAGACCCCAATTGATTTTTAGTAGATTCTGATAGAGGAACACATGTTCTGTCCAGTCATTTTCATTTCGTTGATTTTCGGAATGATACATTATTACATAAATTGGATCAAAGGTCACGACAACATATTTTTCACAACATTTTGACAAAAGAGTTGATTTGAGCATGCAATTCTAATTATTTTACTACCAAATTCGCATATATTCGATGAAAATTGACATGGTTTGACATATTTCTACCAAGAGGGTGGTATTTATCCGTTTTTTGTGGTTTCTGCCCTGACCACATGGTAGGTCGGATCGGGCTAAAAAAATGGTGTGCATTCATTGCTCATCAGGACCTACAAGCACAGCAATTTTTATCAAAATCAGAAGACATGAGGTAAAAAAGTGCGTTGGTCTGACATGGAATGACCCATGAACGTTCAGGCCTATATAGTGATCAAACCGGAATGGCGCACTGTGAACTAGCGAAATGACACAGTTTCAAAACAAAGTGCAAAAGGTATTGATATTATCCCAATTTTCAATAACACAACATACGACAGGATGTTTGAGATGTCCCGATTTCCTTTATACATTCTTCCGTGGCGAACTTCCGCATAACCTTTTATCCTGAATTGGTTACAGTGATTGCCGGAAATTGTGATCGCATCGCATCGGGATTTTATGTCTGATACAATAAACAAGAAAAACTAGCAAGAAAACAAAGCGGGTGATTGATCATACTGATATTATGGGTCAAGTGTCAGCTTTCGCAAGATTTCTTTCTTTGAACACAAAAAGGTTTAAATTTATCATCTGAAAAAAATGTGTAAGTGCGTGAACTTCAATCAGAATAAAGAACTTGATGTAATACACTCTTGAAAAACCTACAGCCAGGTTTGACTGGAAAACTGGCGAACCTGAATGGCAATAAAAACTACAAAAATTCCATGAATTTATAGTGTTTTTTTTTTTCAAGAACTAGATAAACCAGTAAGTATTTGGGCAATTACTGTGCGTCGAGAGTGCACTATGATGGCAATAGCGGAACTATTGTCAGACAGGAATTCCTTATTTTGAACAAATATAAAACCGAGATTATTTGCTCTGAGCTATTATTGCCTGATTTTGGCCTCAGAAAATGGTGGTCTGAATCCGCATCAACTGTTCAGACTAGAGCTAATTCAGTGGTATTCTATGCAACATTATACCTGGTTATGGTTCAAGCACCAATATCGCATGATAAGTTATCGAATTACCGTATAGGAACGGGATCATCATGGTCTGAAATATTTATAGCGCACTGTTTTGGCTAAAAGTACATTTGTGCCAATATCATATATCAAAAAAAAAAAATCAATCCCGAAGTAAGCAGAATTATCGTTTCAAACACTCACCGTGCAATTCTTGTTCGATCTTGCAAACAGTTCTCTCGGGTTGTCGTCTGAACGTGAACATTAGCTGCGGTCGTTGTGAGGAGTGAGCCGGCAGCTTGTGACTTAAATATTGACGTCGATTTCCCAAGCAGTGACTGAGGAACTTGCAAGCCCGGTTTGTGATTGGCCCCTTACGCGCTGTCAATCACACATCACTGACTCGCTCCATATTTGTGAGACGGAAATGATATTAATGTTACACTGCCACACGTAAAACCCGAAGCTTGTATCACCGACACTCAAATAGACGCATCTAATTGGTGAAATGATTGTATGGATGTCGGTGACACATTCAAACACGTGGATTGTGATTGGCACCTGTCAATCACAGACCACTCACTTGTGGTCACCGACTTGTTCGGTGACTAACTCTGATTGGTGGATAGAATAATGACGTACACCGGCCATACGGGATTCAATCAGTGTTTGTTTTGCGCTTTGTGTTATTTAATGGAGCCACGCATTTGGTGGCTAGTATTCTTATGCAGTGATAAAAAAAACCGAAGATGAAATGAATTCAGCTTTTCAAAAAAGTAAATAGAACTTGAATATATTGTGTGCATTATCCGGTCCATGTACAACTGCCGCCCTGAAAGTATAATTATTTTGCAGACTCCAGCCGTTCCCGAAGGCAACTTAATTATAACTATTCATCTATCCCCATCCACAAGTCAAACGCGCGCTCGGCCAGACCAACTTCTCGGCATGCAATTGACATTGCACCTGCAGAACCACCTCCACGCTTATTGAGCCCAACCTATACCAAAACCAATCACAGATTATGCCAGCCCAATCTTGACCCTTGCCCAACCAAATCCATTCCAAAGCTTAACTGTTTCGATCCAACCATTTGAAACAGTCTTCTTTCCTTAAAAAAACCCCAACCTTCAATAGCCTTTGAACGAATCTTCCTAGGAACCCCCGCTCTCATCATCCCTTCCACCCACGGCGGATCCCGAACCCCAAATGTATGCTAAGGCGGCTCGAGACCGGGGGGGGGGGGTTGTTTATTGAATGCCAGGGCTCTGTTGTTTTCCTTTCCATTAGTATTTCCATTAAGAGGAAGAGGATGAGTAAATCGATTTTACAACAGTCCTGTCGTCTATTGTAGCTCTTGTAAAATAATTGATTTTTCCCCAATTGATGTGGCTGCTTTAATTCGCTGTAAAGATGCTGGTAGACAGCGGCGTAGCCAGGTTGAGTGGGGAGGCTGGGGTAGGGGTGTAAGGGGTGGGCTTACACACACAAATAGAAAAAGAAATGTCCTGCAGTCGCCCCATCCCCCCCCCCCCCCCCGAAATAAATAATTCCCATTGACCATGCGGTTATTAGGTATAACAGAAACTGCCCCTCCCTCCCTCACACTGTAACATCTTGCAGCTCCCCCCCCCCCCCCATGGCTTCACTGCTGCTGGTAGACCGGTTCCGGTTTCCTATATTATGGAGTCTAAAAAAACGGAGGTGGGGACCCATGCAGTCTACACCGCAAGAAACGAATAAATGTCAGGCCACAAATTAATTAAATAAATAAAAACTAGAAAATATCAGCAGTACCGATGTAGCATGTATTTAGGTTTTATGAAATACGGACTCATTGGTGGTATTGCGCATGCTCATGCATAGATAATTAGGAGAGGGAACGGTCACTTGAGATGGTTTAACCAGTAAGAGGGAAAAAGAGTCCGATTTTTATACGAGTCCGATTTTCATATGACACCGGGTTATGAAGCATATTTCACAAACAAAAGAATCAACGTTTGTTATCTACTCTATTTTATTCCTCGGAGCATTCAAAACGGCTGATTGTTTTGGTCGGCGTCTCATGCACAAGAGAATAACTTTTGTAGCCCTAGAAACAAATCTCGTGGAAAAAAAAAGATGGGGCTGTAATAAACTTAGTATTTACCACGTTAACGTGTTTTGGGTTAATTTCCTAGGTGGATTTCATTTAAGTTTCTTTACTTCTTTTTCGCTACAGTGAGAAGGGGCCGTTTTGTTGTCACAAAACATGACAACGAATCCCGCCTATTTTTCTCCTTTGTAGTCGTTGCAATGGGCTTTTTATTTGATGACAGGACACGTGTCACAAAAATAGCCTGATTATCAACATAAATCTTGAGTTTTTTTATTTGTTACCAATAAATTTAAAAAATGGGATAAGACATGGTTTATTTGCTGTATAAAAACTCGCAAGTTCAAGCTTTCAAAAATGATGGGATGGGCTAAATGTTTGACAATCCATCACGATAACTTTCTCTGCACGTTACTTCAGTGAGGAACTAAGTAGAAAATACATTACAAATCGCTAATATCGAAAGTGATGTAGCCCTATCGATCGATTACCAAAGCTTCACGGTGCTATTAAAACAAACCATTCGTTACACACAGGTCTACACCCTTGGCTATGTCAGGTTCAGCATTCTTAATATCAATACTTTTTTTCCAGAAGGCACACGTTGAATCTTTTTAAATACTGCTAAGAAGAGTCTTTAAAAACAAATACAACAAAAATGGTTAGATGCAGTGCAAATTCCAGCTGTTTATGTAGATATCATTTTGTGAACACTGCAAAATGTTAAAATTAAAGGAATTTCTGGTTCTTATACTTCTTTGTATCGTACTCTTTTTAAACTTTTCAAACATCTGTAAAAACATACAAAAATATACAATACATTCATAACTTTTCTTTGATTATTGCATATTCTGATTGTAAAAATTGGGTGCACAAACATCTGAAAAGCAGAGTCGGAAATAGCCAAATATCTCTACAAAGTAACATCAAATCATGAGCCACTTCAAAATAATATTAATAAAGCAACAATACAGTTCAAACTCAAAACTTGCTGAGTTTGAACTAAACTCTAATTAAAAATAGTGTATGCAAACATTTTTCAGAAATAACGCATTTTATATCACATAGGGATACACTTCGATTCAGGCCGTGGTTCACAATATGATAAAGGTACGTAACGTCACCCATTAATATACAATACATTCGATACCAGGGTGCCCTTCAAATTGATATTTTGTTTTCCAGCAAGAAACCAAATCTTTCCGAGGATTAATGATATAGGGGCGAGTCTCCACCCAACTAAGAATAACCCAACCGGTGCAAAAATATGTAGGTCTTACAAAAGTCATAACTTATTATGCATGTTCACATAACAAAAGTGAACAAATAACATATTTCCTCAAATATTTTATTTGTTCACATTTTTATTAAAACTTTATTTATAACGATATTTCATGCCACAGTGGATACAAATATAATTGTTGTCAACAATTTTAATGCATTCTTGTTTAATATGTCTCAAAACTTTTCTACGAAAAGCTAATTATAACGAGCACTCAAAATTGTAAATATATTGCCAATACGGAACTGTGCGGTGCAAATGTAAACAAATACATTATTTATTCAACCATGCATCTAAATTCCCGATTAGATTATAGGAACAGATTATTTCTTATTAATTGGTTCATATGATTACCAGCTTAAGAAATGACAACATATTTAGAATGCTGCTGTCCGACTGGTTATCCCAAGAAGGATAGATCGTTAAGCGGACATGCATCCATACTTCAGGAACTACATTGGCTCCCAGTTATAAATACGGTAAGGGTTGAATTCAAGATCTTTTGTTAGTTTTCAGACTTATCCGTCGAGTTGATATAAGTTCATGAGTTTAACATTCGCACTAAAAGCTGCGACGGGGTTAAGTTCAGCCACCCTAAAGTTTGTCCAAAGCCTACCAAGACATACAGGGATTGTGCTTTTACTATGTATACATCTGGGGAACAGACTTTCAGCTTTATTGAGAAATATTTATGAATTTGGAATTTTTCAATCACGGCTTAAAATATTTTCTTCTAAAAATGAGAATTTTTTTTTTATCTTATTTTTAATGATTTTTAAAAGAGTAGTGTTGATGTTTTGTAAACCGTTTTGATATATCAATGCTAAACATGTATTTAAAATTAATCATTTTTATCATACCTGTTATTGGTACCCATGGGAGACATTTTGTTTATTAGTATTAAGTTGAACATTATTTCTGTTAAATCATTGGTTATTGTTTCGGCAAAATAAAAAACCAAACATTTTGTTGGGGGAAGCACTGCTCCTGTACATTTATGCGTGGTGATTATTTATTAATTAATTAATTGACTCCGGGTACAGGAGGAAACCACTGAATGAGGTGTAGTGATAGGTGAAATCACTAAACGCCCTACCGTACATGGTAACATACACCGTATCTCCACGCTGCAGAACCAGCACCGCACTTCCAGACAACTGACCTCGTTGATTTGCTTGACCATAGGTGGAAATCACCTTGTGGTTGTTTTTAACAAGATGAATGTTAAAGCTACCGCTGTTGCCATTCTTAAGAACAGAAAACGTAAATACGTAGGTACCCGGCACACTACAGGTGAACGTGCCGGTCTCGAGATCGAAGGTGGTACCCGGCAGAAGCGTCTCGGTCTGCTGGAAGGGCAAACGGGTGTCGACACTTGTAGATTCATCCGAGCTGCTCGTCCTCACCACGGTGAATGCCACCCGCTGGTTGGAGTCGTCTGGTGTCTCCCCTGGCTCACCCTTCTGACCTTTGACACCAGCCTGACCGGCTGCTCCAACAAGACCCGTTGGGCCTCTCGGACCTATCTTTCCGGGCAGGCCAATTCCATCGTCACCTTTAGACCCAGTGTTCCCAGGTGCTCCCCGCTCACCCATAGGTCCAATCTGTCCAATCTCACCTTTGTGACCTTGCTGGCCTAAATCACCCTTTGACCCCGGCTGACCGTACGGCCCCATCGGTCCTGCTGGACCAGGCAAACCCGGTATACCAGGTACTGCAGCAGGTCCCTGGCAGCACTGCTGACTCACCTGAGACGCAGGGCCTTCACCATCCGAGGGAACCGGCTCAGTAACAGAAGCTCTGAGTTTGACAGAGTTACCCAAAAGGAGGGCGATTGACAGAATGGTAGTCACGCAGATCTTCATCTGTAAGCAGTAAAGGGCCTATATATAAAACTAAAAACTAAAAATTAATAAGAAACAGACAGATAAAAGAAATAACAGTTAATGTAACAACATTAACTTAAGAATTTATCTAAAAGACATTGTACGACTACATAATAATGTTGAGGAATCATTATTCAGACAATGTGTTCGGCGTGATATGACAGTGGCCTCTCCGTGGACAAGGGGCTTACATTTTATGAAAAGGCGGGTTCTTTTTTTAATTGGGTGCCATGACAACTGTGGCTGTGGGGAATCCACAGCTGTTTTTTTTTGTCCACATGATTGGGCTTGTTATTACTTTTGCCCGCCGATAAAAGTTATGAAAGCAGACCGAATTACATCAGTTTTTTTTTTTTTTTGTGGGGACGGCCCGCTCTTTCGACGTTTGTGAAAGAATCAATTAAACATCACCACACAGACCTCGATGGTTCGTTCTTGAAGACTTGAAGATCAGGTCCAAAAAGAGATCACAAGGAATTCAGTGTAGGCTGAAAAAAATAACAACGAAAACCGGCAACGTTTATACTTGAGTAGAGAAAGATATAATGTTATCATCGATTTTAATAAAACTGTGAGTTTTTCCATATTGATAAATCATCATTCGAAATTGGAAAAAGTATACACTAATAAAAAGCGAAAAAAATATTATTTGACCGGTATTTTTTCGGCCAAATACGTCCAGAAAAACAACCTGTTTTATTTAAAACCTTTATTAAAACCTTTATTCAACTTAATTTTACACCACCCCAACAAAAATATGATTTTTTTTTAGGCACTAGTTAGTCATTGAAATGTTTTTGAAAACATAATTATGTGAGTTTTAAAACAAAAAATTCTTCATTCAAATAGCTTTTTTTCCCGTTCAATTTCACACCTTGCTCGTTCAATAATGCAACGCTTTCTTTCAAACTCGCATAAAAACGGGCAGGCAAATTCAAACCCAGTTGAATTTAGCGAACGATACAAATATTTAAGAGTATATTAAATTATATTGAAAGCATTATTTTTTTCTGGTGGTAATTACCTTCATATTTGTAATCGCATGTTTAAATATAACTGTTGTACTTACATTATCCAACTTTGTATTGGTTTATTGGTTTATTGAATTGAATTGAATATAATCATTATACGCGTAAACAAAACCAGGCAATTGACGTAACTTTGCATGAATTTATTGTGCTTTGGATTTCGGTCCCGCTCGGGAATTCAATTTCATGTATACGTTTTCAAAAGGTTACACATGTTCAATGAAATCGGGTTGTTTAGCAAGATCAGTGGTGGGTCCCGGGGTGCGGAGGGGGCGCCCTCCCTCGGCATTGACAGACATTTTCTCAAATAAGGCGAAATTTCACTTGAGAGAGCCCTTCCCCTTTCTCTGACAAAATAAACTATCTGGATTTGCCCTTGAAAACATTGCTTAACAGTGTTAAAACAAAGCATAAATTGACATGAGTTTTTAAAAAGTGATATGAAAGAATGTACAAAGAAAATGTAAAATATCAGGGAAGGAAACATGAAACATGCATATCAGAACTTAAAGTGACTAAATGATAGAACAAATTAATGTTTTGAGCACTCCCCCAAAGTTAGGCCTACAACGGAAAAAGACAGATTTTTATTTTTCATATTTTGACCATATTAACCAGTTTGTTAATTGTTGTAATCACTCTGTGGAAATAAAAAGATAATGAAAAAGATATACTGAAAATCATTCAAATCTTTTCTTATCTGGTTTTTATGCATATCTCTCTTTTAATTCTTTTAGTTCTCTTATTTTTGGGGTTTGTTTTGCGAAACCGCTTGTATGTACATAAACATGAACAACTCCAAAAAAAACACATGTGCGCGTTTCTTCATTAACCAATTTGTAGAACCCGGGAAAGTATGACTAGGAATCTTAATCTTGCTCACATTTCTATGCTATATACTTTCCCGGCCACGTGGTAGCCTTGCCCGGGGTTATCTTTCACTAGATCCTAGTATGGACCATGGTACATCAACCAGAGTGGGTGGGTGGCGATCTGGTAGAGGGGTTAAAATTGGCGGGAAGACCTAGTGTGCTTGTGCACATTTACATAGGCTTGTATACATTTGCACTGTTCATATAGGGATTGCATGGATCACCCCTGCTGACCAAAATGAAATAGTCAAATGACATAAACAGAGCAAGTCTGTGGTTTGAATGGCTGTTTAGGGTCTGAAGGATGCAAGGGGTGCTGGTCTGGGTTTGAGGGCCGGGTGGCTCAAATTAAATAGTGGTATAAAAACATTCCATGCAACGGCACGATATAGGTAGATTAAAGGGGCAGCTGCGGGAAGGGTTAAAACCAAAGTTGCTCAATCTAAATTGACAGTGTTCATATACACCGAATTCATCGGAAAGTTGGTGCTTTTAACTTTGAAGTCGGATAGAAGAGCAGACGGCCCGAATAATTTGTACAAACATCAGCTCTTTACATGATTACCAGAAATGAATCCAGCCAAATAAAGCAATTTGAACTTGAATAAAACTGTGTGTGTGATCATAATTCGACCCGTTCGTATTTGCGCCCTCTAGTCTATTCTGACCAGTGACACTTTTATCGTGTAGTGCTTGAAAGTAACGCTTAGGCCTATATAGTGGTCAAACCGGAATGGCGCACTGTGAACTAGTGAATGACACGGTTTGAAAACAAAGTGCAAAAGGTATTGAGATTATCCCAATTTTCAATAACACAGCATAGGAAAGGATGTTTGAGATGTCCCGATTTCCTTTATACGTTCTTCCGTGGCCAACTTCCGCATAACCTTTTATCCTGAATGGGTTAGAGTGATAGCCGGAAATTGTGATCGCATCGCATCGGGATTTTATGTCTGATACAATAAACAAGAAAAACTAGCAAGAAAACAACGCGGGTGATTGACCATACTGATATTATGGGTCAAGTTTCAGCTTTCGCAAGATTTCTTTCTTTGAACACAAAAAGGTTTAAATTTATCATCTGCAAAAATTGTGTAAGTGCGTGAACATCAATCAGAATAAGGAATTTGATGTAATACACTCTTGAAAAAACCTACAGCCAGGTTTGACTGCAAAACTGGCGAACCAGATTTACCGTATGGGAATGGGATCATCATGGTCGGAAATATGTTTAGCATGCTGTTTTGGCAATAAGCACATTTGTGTCAATATCACATATTAAAAAAATCAATCCAAAAGTTAGCAGAATTATCGTAAAGATTGTTTCAAACACTCACCGTGCAATTCTTGTTCTATCTTGCAAACAGTTGTCTCGGGTTGTCGTCTGGACGTGAACATGAGCAGCGGTCGTTGTGAGGAGTGAGCCGGCAGCTTGTGACTTAAATATTGACGTCGATTTCCCGAGCAGTGACTGAGGAACTTGCAAGCCCGGTTTGTGATTGGCTCCCTGCGCGCTGTCAATCACACATCACTGACTCGCTTCATATTGATGAGACGGAAATGATGTTAATGTTACATTGCCACACGTTAAACCCGAAGCTTGTATCACCGACACTCAAATAGACGCATCTTATTGGTGGAATGATTGTATGGATGTCGGTTACACAATCAAACACGTGGATTGTGATTGGCACCTGTCAATCACAGACCACTCACTTGTGGTCACCGACTTGTTGGCTGACTAACTCTGATTGGTGGATAGAATAATGACGTACATCGGCCATACGTGATTCAATCAGTGTTTGTTTTGCGCTTCGTGTTATTTAATGGAGCCACGCATTTGGTGGCTTGTATTTTGTTGTCAGGTTATGCAGTCTACATTTTTGATTGAAAAACGAAGGAGTAATAATCTAGCTTGAAAAGAAAAGGTAATGAGAACTTTAATTTATTGTGTGCATAATATCCAGTCCATGTACAGTTGCCGCCCTCGTACGGTGAAGTATACTTATTTTGCAGAACCCAGCCGTTCCCAAAGGCAACTTAATTACAACCATTCATCTATCCCCATCCACTAGTCAAGCGTGCGCTCGGCTCGGCAACTTCTCGGCATGTAATCGACCTTGCACCTGCAGACCCCCTCCTCGCTAATTGAGGCCCTCCCACCTCCGCTTATTGAGCCCAACCTATACCAAAACCAAACGCATAATTATACTAGCCCCGATCTTGACCCTCGCCTAATCAAACCTAATCCCAAACTTACCCCAACTGTTTGGATCCTACCATGTGCAACAAACTTCTTTTCTTAGAAAACACTAGCCTTCAATAGCCTGATCTCCAAGCCAAGCTCGAATCCCCATATTGAGCCCCTGCCCCCACCGTCCCTTCCCCCTCCTAACCACCCTGGGCAGCCAACGGCGAATCCCGAACCAATATGCTGAGGTGGAGAAGAGGGGGGGGGGGTGCTTATTTAATGCTAGAGTGCTGTTGTTCCCCTTTCAATTAATAGTTTCGTCGACAGGAAGAGTAAATCTATTTTAAAACATTAACAGTCGTGTCGTGACATCTGTTTTTCGTTGGGTAACCTATCGAGTGCCACTCTTTTTAGTAATTCACTCATCAATTGTCTGCTGATGACAACTAACAGTTTTCCCCGCTAAAATAGGCCGGCCTATAAGAATACCTACACAATTTGAAAAGACGGTGGCCAATATTCTACCGAAAGTCCAAAATAATCACTGTGCCCCTGAGTGTGCCTGATTTCTAGCGGAACAATACTGCCCACAATTCCAAACAGTTTCTATTCTTATACCTATCTAGGGTGTGTCGTTTTCAAACCTAGTATTTTGGAGAGATATTACGCCGCGAAGTATTACTCATTGGCGTGGTTCATTAAAGGGACCTTAATTAAGACTCCTAATTTTCTGTAGGAAGCATTCAAAGAGTTAAGCGCCTCCCTCGAATCCCAGGCTGGCTGAGTGGTGAGGCACGCCCTCTCTAGCTTTCCGGGTTACGCCACTGAGTTTGAAGTGACGTATCGTATCTATCTCAACATCCGGCCGGGACCATGAGTTTGACCACG